ACTTTTTTTGATTCATTTTTATTCTATGTGTATGAGTGTTTTGCCTGCATGTGTGAAAGTACACCCGTGTCATGCAATGCCCACAAGAGGACAGAAGAGGGTGTAAGATCCCCTAGAACTAGGGTTAAAGATGGTTGTTTGTTGCCATGTAGGTGCTGAGAACTGAACCTGGGTCTTCTGGAAGGGCTGTCAGTGCTCTTAATCTTAATCACTGAGCCATCTCTCCAGCACTCATGTTTATTTGCTTATTCTTTCTTTTTTCTTTTTGAGTCAGAGTCTCCCTGTAGCCCCAGCTGGCCTGGAACTTGCTATGCAGACCAGGCTGGCCTCAAACTCCTAGAGATCTGCCTGCCTCTGCCTCCCAGGTGCTGGGATTAAAGGTGTATGCCACCATGCCTGGCTTCCCGTTTATTTTTTTAATAACAAAAAAATATATTTGTGTGTTACTTCAGTTATAAAGAGTTAACAACAAAAATATAGCCAGGTCTGAATAATTTGTCTTTGTGCTGTAATATCATAAGTCTCCATTTTCATGGTGTACTTATTATTTGATCAGTTAGGAAGTGTAGAATGAGGATCTGGAACTGGAGAAAGAATGATCCATTATTTTTTAATGTATAGTTGGTATAGAAAAAAAATTAGTATACTTCAGAAAGTAGAGTTGTATCAGGAAAGGGAAGATGAGGGTCACATTCTTCAATCACTGTCATCCTAGTCAATAATATTTAATTAGCTTAGGTTTTCTAGATGATATATTTGTCCTGTTTTCTTTTTTAAATTATTATTATTGGCTGGGCATGGTGGTGCATACCTTTAACCTCAGCACTAAGGAGGCCAGAGGATCTCTGTGAGTTCAAGGCCAGCCTGGTCTACATAGTTCCAGGCTAGCCCCATTACAGGGAGACCATGTCTCAAAAAGACAAAAAAAAAATTTTTTTTTTTAGGTTTTCTAGATGATATACATGTTATATTCTTTATTAGTTTTCCGTTTAATGTTTGGAGTCATAAATGACTAAAACTTTGAGAAAAAAAAAAAATTTTTTTTTTTAGGTTTTCTAGATGATATACATGTTATATTCTTTATTAGTTTTCCGTTTAATGTTTGGAGTCATAAGTGACTAAAACTTTGAAGATTACTATTGACATTAACACTCTGATGAAGAATAAAAGATTTAAGTATTGCTAATATATAAATAAAATTGCTTAAAATACCTTATTCCAAAGGACAAATGTTTTTGATATGTGTCCTTATATTTCTCTTATAGGGATGTGAAAGCTGGCAACATTCTGCTTGGAGAAGATGGCTCTGTACAGATTGCAGGTAATGATTGACATGTTTTCTTCCCTTTTGTTTTGATATGTATCTATGTCGTGTGCACACATGCATGTATGTGTGTTCACATTTGTGGGTGAACTTGTATGTGTGTTTAGGCCAGAGTTGACATCATATGTCTTCCCTTATATCTCTCTACCTTTTATATTTTGGCAAAGTCCCTGGCTAAACCCAAAGCTTGTCAGTTTAGCTAGTCTTGCTAGCCAACCTTTCCTGGGGATTCCTCGTCTCTGCCTCCTGAGTGCTGAGATTATAGGCCTAGCATGTATGTGGGGCCGGGGATTCAGACTTAGGTCTTCATGCTGTGCAGCAGTCATTTTACCCACTGAGCCACATCCCTAGCTCTCAGCATTTCTTTTTGATTTGATATAGCAAGCAGAACCATCTTATTCATCTTTTTTCTTTTTTCTGTTCTTTTTTTCTTTTCTTCTCTTTTCTTTTTTCTAAGTATTTTTCTGACCATTACTCATTGCTTTCCATTTGTCCATGCCTGCCTCTATTAGGGTCTTCTGCCATCTCTCCTCATAGCATTCTGTATCTTCATTTAAAGAAGAAGCAGTTAGCTGGGTGTGGTGGCGCACGCCTTTAGTCCTGACACTCAGGAGGCAGAGGCAGGCAGATTTCTCAGAGTTCAAGGCCAGCCTGGTCTACAAAGTGAATTCCTGGCCAGCTGGGGCTACACAGAGACCCTTTTGAAGTAGCAGTTAGGAATCCTCTCTGTGTTTAAGCATAAATATGTCATTGAGAGGTAAGACAAAGTTGCTTTTATCTGGGGTTGTGGTGGTTAATTTTAACTGTCAACATGACACAATTTAAAATCATTGATATTTGGGAAGCAAATCTCAATAAAGAATTGCCTAGATTAGGTTGACCTGTGGGCATGCCTGTAAGATATTTTCTTAGGTTAATTGAGGTAGGCTGACCCGCTCTGGGTGTTGACAGCACCTTTTCATGGCCTGGGCCCTGGACTGAATGTAAAGGAGGGATCCAGCTGAGCACCAGCATGCATTAGTTCATTTCTCTCTGCTCATGACTGGATATAACATGACCAGCTGCTTCAAGGTCCTGCCGCCTTTTTCTCCACAATGTGAACTGTAACCTAGACTTGTGAGCTTTTTTCCTTAAGTTGCTTTTGTCATTGTATTTTTATCACATCAGGAAAGGAAACTTAAGTCAAGGGTGAGGTAAGGTACTCATTAGAAAGAGGCATGTGAGAAGTAGAAGTACATTTTCAGCAATTTCAGAGCCAGAGTCCAGGTCCTGCCAGAGGTACCTATCCTGATAGAATGCAGTCTCTTTCAGCATGGTCCCAGACTACTGCAATAGTCAAGTGAATCAGGAGAATGTCTTAAGCTTTTAAAAGACAATTTAGGAGCCAGGTGTGGTGGTACATGCCTTAATCCCAGCACTCAGGAAGCAGAGGCAGGTGAATCTCTGAGTTCAAGGCCAGCCTGATCTATGTAGTGAGTTCCAGGCCAGTTGGGGGCTATAGGGAGACTCTGTCTCAAAAAGACCCCCCAAAAAGAAAAAAAAAGACAATTTAGGAAAGTATCTTTATATCTTGAGGTAAGGGAATATTTTAACCAAGTCACATAATACTCCAACATAAAATTGACTCCTTCAAAGTTAATGTTAATTTTTTACATTGAAAGAGGAACAAACAGACTGGAGCGATGTCTCAGCGGTTAAGAGTACCAGCTGCTTTTACAGAGGACCGGGGTTTGATTCTCCAGTCTGATGTC